ACAAAACAGGTCCAGCAAGTGTGACTTCTAGTAGATGTAAAATGAAAATATTTTCAATTTACCAACCTCAGTTTCATTTAATCATTATATCAAATGACACTTGTTGTCTTCTCACTACATCTTGAACAGTGTGTCCACAGAGAAGGCTTCAATCATTCATATGCAATAAAATGAATAAAAATGAAGTGATACCTACAGAGTACTTCATTTGATACCTTCTTTTTTCTACTTCATTCAATGCCTATCGTGTGAATCAGTTGTGTAAATTGCTACCAGACGCTACAGGTGTCTAGTATTGATATACTTTCAAATGTTTTGGTGCCATCTGGACTGCCAACTCCATCAAATACACTGTGCCCCACTTCACCACACCACAGACAGTATGGTTTGTAGCTGCTCAGTAGTGGGTCAATCACATGCCATATTAAATAGAAGAACACTTTTACTGATTAGCTGCGAGGAAAACCAAACAAATAATCATTTCTATATAGATTTGTGAAGGAAACGGATTGATTGCAGGTATTATTTGGCTGGAGAATTCTTGAGACTACTTCATGCTGGATTATTTTGGTCGGTACCTTAAAGGTATCGAGTACCGATACCCAGCCCTAAGTCTCACAAGTTCATTAAAATTTAATAAAATCAAGTAATATCAGGGGCAGCTGACACTGAGAAAAGTCCCTTGCCAAGGTCAGCCTCAATGCAAGAGAGGCTCTAAACTGTACTTAATCTTATGTATGTGTTAACACCCTCTTTCCTTTTCTAAGGAAATTATTTGAAATGTTTCGATAATTTCATTCTCCTGTAGGTAGGTCCTGTTCAGGGAACACAAGATTCAGGGAACATATGGTGAGGGAACATAGACACACTCCCCCTCGAGCATAGACTAGGCAAATATGATATAAAGATATTCAGAGTGCTCTTGTTGTGTGTTTAAGTTCAGCATTGTGAGGCAACATATCTCGCTGGTGGAGCGCAGAAGACAGAAAAAATTCCTGCGCTAACCCTAGACCAGTGATACTCAACCTACAGTCTGTGGGCCAAATCTGGCTTGCGATACGGTGCCAGGTGGCCCACCGACAATTCTCCAATTCAAAATGGAAAAAAAAAGTAATAGTGAATTATTTTTGTTCTTTAAATGTAAATGAGGTGCACAGAAAAAGCATCAAAATAGAGCTTGTTTATCTGAACAAACAAATTTTTAAAAAAAGGTGCTAGAGGTCCAGGCCAAGCCCAGAATTTCCTTGAACCCTAGAAATGCCCCTGCATACACCTAACCTATCCAAGACTGTTGGGCCTCCATTTGCCTCTTGACAAAGATGAGTGGGGCAGCAAACACTGAAATGTTGAAAACAATAATTTATTATTCATACTGATTTGTTTATTAACTGGCCCCTGCTCTCTGGTCATTTTGTAATTGGCCCCTGGGCAAAGCTAGTTGAGTATCCTTGCCCTAGACTAACCTCTGCAGTTTGGAGAACAGCTTTGCTAAAGCAACACGTCTGTTAATCCCAGCTTGTTAAAGGCATTATTGTACACCTGACACTGAAACAGGAACCAGGTCAATAACGCTTCCAGTTTTGTTTTTACAAATGACTGGTGATTCCTTCTACTCCTACTGAAATGTTGATCAGAGGCGTCTTCGTCTCTTCCTGTGCAGTGTTTTGTTTTCTACGTACGAATCAACCCTTAATACTAAATAAGACCTTTTTGTAAAGGCGACTTTCTTCAACCTAAAAGCATGACAGACCATTCAAACATATAAAGCAGTCCCCTTAGACGTCTGACTGGATGCAATCAAGCTTTGTGGCAGTGGATTCCATACTTTTAAGTGGCAGGGTTACACCTGTGAAAATGGGTGCAAAAACAAAAGTGTTGCATTTAAATTTACTCATATACATATCAAGACATAATCACATATCTCAAAACACATATTTAAACACAGACATAGATATGTATACCTGCTTTTAATAAAAAAAAAAAACACAGGCCCATTGATAAGTAATTTATCCCGAGCTATTAAAGCATCACCTATTCCCAGTCCTAATACTCTGAATAAAAGATTATACCCTCTTTAACTTCTCAGTTGTGACAACCATCATTACAAACAAGACAAAAATAGATCCTATCTTTAGTTTTCTCACTTTGCATCTTCAACTGAATAAAGGCAGAAGAGGCAGGTCAGCTTTAGAACTCCTGCTCTCCAGCTGAAATACTTGGAACATTTGAAACAGCACAGCTACTTGGCTGCATTTAAGGACGCTCATAACACCAGCGGTCGACATGCAGAGTCTGATGTGGCATGTGGTTCTTAGAACGAGAGGGGAAATGAACGGCGATGTCATTCGCGGAAACTACCTGTGGTCGTTGATACACTGTAATCTCTTCAGGGAAATTTTGAGTTGTCTGAGAACCTGCAGAAGAAAGCCAGCAGCAGATCAGAGGGATTACTGATGACTGACACTACAGTCTGAATTCATGCTGGAGATGGCATTTTATTTTTAGGGCTGGTTTCCTTTGATGGCCTCTGCCTATTATTATCTGATACAAAAATACACACAGTGAGTTGCACAGAGCCACTTCAGCACTTTGATTTGGTATATTTATGACTTGAAACGTGCATGTCTGAGAATAAAGACGGGTATTATGGCTTCCATCTGCATCCCTTAATTTCAGTCCCCGTCCATCCGCTCAAATCCCAGCTGCTAAACACGCATTGTATTCACCTGACAGAGGCTGATGGAAGCAGCAGCGTGCCCAGCCTCCATGTAATTTGCTGTTGTGTAAATCTTTGTTTCGCTGTAGGTGGGGTTGCAGAAGCGCTGTCTCAAGGAAGATTAGCTGTGAGGCCAAGTGTCTCTCGGGAGCATCACAACTGATTAAACCTACAACTCTTATCTATCCGAGAGAGCAGATCCATGATGGGCTGCTGGCTGCTGCCTGCTGGTCACTATCACCACTAAAATGTCAAGATTAACCCTTAAGAACATCTGCAAGTTGTTACAGGGAATAAACCGATAAAGACAAGCAGTGGTCCACATTCTGGATGTGAATTGGCAGAGGGTGATTATGGCTTACAATTGATGCTATAAGAAGTACTTATATCCTTTACTTAAGTAAAAACATTACATTACACACTCTCTCTGCGTGTGTTTTAATCTAAGCTTCCCTGTTTTGTGTTGTGCTAGCCAGGCAACGGGATGCACATTTTTTCTCCCAAGCATGTTTCGGACAAGGCGAAACAATGGCGGTGTGGAAGCGTAATGCCCAGCTTCCCTGCTAGGTTAACACCATTAGCTCTGTCAGCACTGTTAGCTGCTGGCTCAGCCACCTCCATGCTGAGAGCCATGTGCAGGCAATCCCAGCAAAGATGTTGAATCACTGATATGCTCTGAATGTTGTCTACAGCTCCTTTAAACATTTTATGTTACTGAAGTTCATAATTACCAGCAAATATACTTAAAGTATCAAAACTAAAAGTGTTTTTTATGCCTTATGCTATTGGAGTATTATTACTGATCAATCGATCAATTAATGAATTTATTTGTCACATCATATACGGTACAGTTCCAGTGAAATTATACATAAATATGTAAGATTTAATGTAATAATTGGACTAGATAGAGCTTTTTTAACTACATTATGCTCACTTACTTACTTATGGGGCAAAAAGGAGACTGCCTGGGACTCCTATACGTAATTTGATTCACTGTAAACTTCTTCAAGATGTACAAAATCCACTAAGGCATCCCACATTATTACCTCATCTTTGTGGCCATGAGTCAAAATCTAGTTTTAAGACTTAATGTTACACAGCGCTCACCTGAGATCAGGTCACACTCCAGTGTATTAGTACTGGCTGGTCTCTGGGTCTAATGGGGGAGGGAGGCAACAGAGGCCCAAAATTCATTCCCCAGCCCCACCCACCCAAGGGCTTGGCTTTTCATTTACATAGATGGGGTTTGGAGGTCCTCCGGAAAAAAAAAAAAAATTGAGCATCAAACACTTAATTTACTGCGTTCTGGTAATTTGTATGTTCCAGTTTGTGGCTTTTCTACATCAATTTATGATGTAATTGTCTTGAATTTTGTCAAATAAAAGCCCTCATTGATGTCATTTATTGGGGGGAGGGGGAATAGTGCACATGTGCTTAATATTGAGGGGGATGTGTCCCCCGCATCCCCCCGAAATCTACACCTATGCCCCCACCTCAACTCCCCCACCCCCCTGCACCCCCCAACAGGTTAATCCAACTGTGCTGCTTGGTTATTTAAACCCATAATAATACACTAAATATATTGCCATGTTTAATTCAGAGACACATCGACAAATACCCATTTAAGCATTTAGCAGCGGTTTAATAAAGCTGAAATCCTGATATCTAATATCAATTTGTGGGATATGTGTGTACAGTTAGATCACCTTGACAAAATTTAACTCATATACTGTAAGTATATTAACTCTTCTAAATCGAGTACCTTCTCGGCCTTCATGTTCTGCATGAATGAATGATTTTCTATCAATAACGAAATCAGTGCTGTTGCTATATATCCGAATTTGTAGTTGAAAGTCAATTCTGGGAATGTTTTAAGCTCATTTTCCTCTCTATATGTAAGCACCCCTGCCCCTTTTTGTTGCCATCTGCCTTCGCCCGTCTGCTCTTATCTCTTCATCTGCTCTGCTTTTCTATAAAGGTGTCAAACAGGAAACCGAATGGAAAAAAACAGTAAAACCCTCTGACCTAGTAAATTCTATTTGTGTTAACATACTCTGTGCACTGCTGTTGCTGTTGTTGTTACTTCCCTTATAAGTAAATTCTCTCTCAATAAGAATTTATCCTAGCACGTCTTCTTACTCTAACACATGTATGACATTTGCTTTCACCTTGATGTGATGTGTGTTGCAGCACCAACAGTACCATTTTTAACGTGATTATGTTGAGCTACACGGGGTCACAGCAACCCACTGTGCTACTTGAAGCAATACAAAGGAGTCACGTGTCATAGTTAAAAAAATATTTATTGAAATCGTATAAAAATAGTTTCTAACATAATTTACAATTCTAATTTGAATGGATGAAAAAACAATCCAAGCTGCAATCATGAAACCAGAAGTTTTCTCATTCTCTCACACACACACACACACACACACACACAAATACATTCATACACTCTTACACACAAACATCCAACATTCAGAATACATTTGCTCCCACAGCAGACAACAGCGACCAGTTACACAAAACCAGTTAGCATCAGTAGACGTTCATGTTCAGATACATTAAGATGGAAGTGCTTTCGGGGACTATTTACACGTTATTTACAGGACATACACAAACATACACACACACATCTGCTCTTTTTTCTTTCTTTTTTTTAAATTTCAAGCCATAAATATGGTCAGAAAAGATTCATCTCGTCTTTGTTTGTCTCTTTAAATAATCTGTGGGCCCTTCAGTGACTGTGGAATGAAATACACACAAACAGCCGAAATTCTCTCATAAATAAATAAATAAATTCTGAGCTCATTGAGTGTGAGAAAGAAGTCACAACAATAATAAATATCATCATTATTTACAATTCTCCCCACCAAATTTTAAGACTTGTGTGAGGCACTGTTTAAACATAAAATAAAAAAAAATTGAAGTGAAGAGCAGAGGATGTTGTATTTCGGTATGGTTTGCATTGTGGCGTGCATTCAGGTGGATGTGAACGAGCGGTTGCCTAGGCCTCATGTTTGTATACAACATGAGAAGAAGAGGAAGCGGAGGTTGTAGAGTAGAGGTGGATGCTGTAGTAAAGAGAGTGAGGTAAGTCCAGTGTTTCCTTTATGATGTGTTTGCACAGGTTGCTGCCAGAGGTATGAGGTTGTCTGGTTGCCGATGACATTGGAGTAGTAGAAGTTGTGATAGTAGTGGTTGTAGATGGCATAGGCTTTACTGATCTAGGCCCATGAGAGAAAAAAACAGCAATAAACAATATAAAGCCTTGTACAGAGTAAGGAGCAGAAAGGTCTCGGAGAAGAAGAGCCTTCTCTGCTTTCACAAATTCAAGTATTTTCAGGGTCCCCCAACAATCTCACAGAAGGCACTTTTTGAAAACTGCGCTCCTCGTCGCCAACACCCCTGCTCTTCCGACTCTGCTGTGACACAGAGAGTACAGGGAGGGAGCAGAATACAGTGCAGCGAGAGGTTACATAACGCAGACTGTCTGCTTATCATTCAGCAGAACAGCGAGCTTGTGTACTGTATTTGCAGGTGTCCGTGCATACAGAGCATGCCCCCTACAGACTGATAAACACCCGTTGTCTAGATCCAGCGAGGATGTTGTTGTGACACCGACGTGGGTCAACAGCTGGGGAAATCAAGTAGTTGGGGTGGTGAGGGCGGAGAGGGTCTGGCCTGCCAGGCTGAAACCGAGGTGTGATAGTTTTGTCGTGACCTCGGTCTCCTCTGTGTTTAGTCCTTTACACCTTGCTCTCACTTGTGTCGGGACCGCCGGCCTGTGCGCTGCCCTCCCCTCCTCTCTGCTTCAAGTCTGTTACATAAGTCTTTATTAATAGTCTCTTATGTCAGTGCAGTCCAGTTCGGACCCAGCAGCCCAGAGCGAACTGTTCGTCTCCATCACTGAGCCACGGCCACAGGGGTGGGTGTGAAGGCTGTGGGCTCATGGCTGATGCTGTGCAGCCTGATCTCTGTGGTCGTCTTCTCCGTCTGCACTGTGGATGGGATTAAAGAGGAGGGTGTGCTCTGCATCCACGAGTGATTGATGATGTCCTCGAAGGATGGACGGTCGGCTGGCCGCAGAGACAGACACCACTTGATCAGCTGCTGGCATTCTGGTGGAGGAGGGGGAGGAGAACCAATAAGTCTGGAGCAATAAACTGAGCATGAAATATTACACACCTGTCACCCAGAAGCTACAGCATGCATTGCCATGTGAATTTACCTGTGGAGATTCTCCTCCGGAAGAGGACCTGCCCCCTTGTGATCTCCTCATCGTGCTCAAACGGAATGTCCCCACACACCATGTCATACAGCAAGACACCCAGGGACCAAACTGTGGCAGAGCGTCCATGATAGCGATGATATTTGATCCACTCTGGCGGGCTGTACACTCTTGTGCCTGTCAGGTGGGAGGGAAGAAAAAGAATATCTTTAAAAACTGCATCCATGTTTAATAACAATGCACAAATGAACACAACTATCAGATATATCTTCCATTTGTTATTGTACTATGCAGTCAAACTGAAAATGAAAGCACTGCAGGCGGGGCGAAGCGATTAACAGAGTTCAGTTTTATCAGCTGAGCTGTTTCCGAGGCTATTATCTGGGCTCAGGTGCCAGGGAGCGTGACAGGCAGTGTGTGTGTGTGAGAGAGGAGTGTGTGTGTGTGGGAGGGGGAGCGGACATGTGACTTTGTTTACAAACTTTGAGTTGTAAAAATGCAGCTTCCCTCCCATAGGGGGCACCAAAGCAACGGCAATGCTGCTCAGCCAGTATTAATAGGCTGCTGTGTGTATGTGTGTGTGGAGGGGGGGTGTTAGAGATGACACAACCTAGGAATTCCTGCTGGGGTGTGTGGGCACAAATCATAAGACTGAAGAGGTTCACCTGGCTATTCATGTGGCTATGACGCTAAAAATCCCCCCCCCCTCTATTACACCCAGTGAAATAACAGATTATAACACATCAGCGCCTGTTTTGAGCATCGATGACTCACCATCAAAGTCTGTGTATATGGTGTCCTTCAGCAGGGCTCCGGACCCGAAGTCGATGAGCTTCATCTCCCCGGTGCGGAGGTCGATGAGTATATTCTCGTCCTTGATGTCCCGGTGCACTACGCCGCAGCTGTGGCAGTGCCGCACAGCCTCCAGCACCTGGCGGAAAAAGCTTCGCGCCAGCTCCTCCGGTAAGGCACCTTTCTCCGTGATGAAGTCGAACAGGTCCTTGACGTTTTCGGGCCTCTCCATCACGATGATGAAGCTGTCCGGCCGCTCAAACCAGTCCAGCATTTTGATAACGCCACGGAAGCCTGTCCCGACTTTCTTTAACAGCACGATCTCCATTGGGACCCGGGAGCCATTCTGGAGACACCATGATAAATATTAGCTTTTATTACATAAATACAAGCTCAAATAATGCCCAAATACTTTCAAAAATCCAATGTTTACTTGATATAGTTATGAGTATAAATGGTTTCTTACCAGGTCCCCCCACTCGGAGATTCTGTCCTTGGCCACATGTTTGACAGCAACCTAGCAAAGCAAAGGCGACACCGCGTCAAATGACATGTACAATAAAATACAAAGCAGCTGCTTCAACATGCAACGTGTCCTATAATAATAATAATAACACATAAAGTATACTAACCGGAGCTCCGTCGGATATCCTCGTCCCGGAGTACACGGTGCCGAAGCCGCCGCTGCCCAGCACCGCGCCGACCTGATACAGCTTCTCGAAAGGCTCCCTCTCCTTCACTGTGAGACACATAAACACAGCCGGTAAATACGGGAAACTCACTAAGCTAGTCCCTCTGTACACACCGGCTCATATAGCACAGCAAATACAGGCAGTGTGAAGATATCTGAACATAATAATCTGGTTATTAAATGTAATAAAGCTTTAAATGAGCCGCCGTCCTTGAGACATTAGCAAGTAGTAGCATGTGCGGACGGAGGCACGATAAGCGGGCTGCCAGCCATTGCTGCAGCCCCGTCCTCCATGACGACACGGTGGAAAAAGGGCGTCTAACCTTGATGAACTTGGAGCTGGATCTTCGCCGGCATGTCTACAGTGGAGATGTGGGCCAGAGAATTGAGCTTGGACAGCAGCATTCCTTTGGGTGTGTATATATCCACCACAGGCAGGCGACGAGACGACGAGGACGTGTTCTTCGTTTTTGTTGTTTTGGTTTATAATGGCAGTTTTTTATCCCGTTAGTGCGACTCTCCCGTCTCCAGCGAAGAGCTTAAAGTCCACGTAGCAGGAACAAAAATACGGTAAGAATCCTCTCATCCGGATAGAAGAGACCACGGATATTCCCCCGCAATGTTTTGTAAACAGTTAAGCAATATAAACAGAGAGAGGACGGCGGTGCAGGGCAATACCTCTGTCAGACACCGGCTCTAGGAAACAACGAGTAATGTGGGGGAGGACGGTTATAAGGCAGTAGTAAGGGGCGGGGCAGCGCGGTCTGACGTCTGCGTTTCACCGCCTCCTTCCGCTCTCTGCACCAATAGGAGCGCAGATACGCGCTCCAAACGCACGTCAATCACCGGATGAAAATAAGCCAACCTCATAACCGGCTGAGCCAGACACAGACGTGGCGGGAATAAAAACGCGCTAAAAAGGGGGGAGACAAAGTAGTAATTATGAATTCAAGTTGGAGGGAAATGCAAATTCAAAGCCAAGTGCCTCCCCCTCTGTTTCCTCTCTTCGCGGGAAACTGACTCAGGGAAGAGAAGATTTGATCAGACTATTATTAATAGGCTGCACATAACTGGAAGAGTGCATCAAGTTACTGAAAGTGGATGCACAGCTATTCTATTCTTTTCGCTTCCTAAAGATACAGTGTGGCCATATTTGATATTAACGTCTCTGTTATGGTGCTTTTTAATTGTTCTCAACTTGTGTCTACATGTGAGAAAAGAAACACACTGTTGCTGCTAGCTGCACTAAAGCATCCACGACCACATGGCTTAATAAAGACGTTGTCTACAGGAGGAGACACACACACAACCTGAGAGCAGTTCATCAATCACATTCCAGCCATTCTCCCCCTCTGCCATTTACCTGATTATTTTCACATTAAACACAGAGGTTTATTGGCTGAAGTGAAGTCCAGGACTATGGGCTTTATTTGAGTTGCCTGACAATGCCTCTCCACTGGCTGCGCATCAAAGCGCGCTGGGGAGAATAGGCGCATTCCTCTCATTCTTTCAAATTGGGTGGCCGCGTTTGCAGCCGTTCACAGGATGTGGGAAACTGGAGATAAAAAGACTTCCATTTACCCCCCCTTTCTCCTCCCCCTCCTCCTCTCTCTGCACCTCCTCTCTCCGCCCTCCTTTTCCCGCGCACGTTATTGTCTGAATGGCATGCTCTCCCTCTACCTCTCCCTCTCCCTCCATGCCTAAATGCAGTTTTGTTTTACTTAAAATTTCATGGTAAGTTGTAAACCATCATAGTGCTGATGGGTTTTACAAATGTGCAATGTGGCAATGCCTCTCCGTCAAACTGGAGGAAAATGGGATTAGTAGGGAAAAGTTCATTAATGCATATTTATTATTAAATGTGCAGCTGACTGAAATCCAATAAAATAGATAAAGATCAAGATAAATTAAGATTCAGTAGTCCAATGTTTAAATCCTTTTGCATGCATGTTTAAGTATTAAAATGCAACTGGGCCAACATGAGATCTGCAAACAAAAACAAAAGTTTAATATTAACCTATATCTTGGTTATAAAAGAGGAACCTGTTGATTTTGCCAACTGCTTGCAGGTCACCACAGCTGACTGGAATGAAAATGACAGCATGGGAGTGTTCCTACTTGCTTTCTCTGTGCCCTGGGCAAATTCCTCTAATGCCTCTGAAATGTTTGAAGGCAATATGCAAAGTTGCTGAACTACATAATACGTCCGTCATCAAGACTGAAAGTGTTTGTTAAAGTAAATGAAAAAGACTGCACACTGAAAAGCCCACCCTGTTTTTCTAGTTTCTAAATTTGTGTATGCGTGTGTGTAAGTGTAAAGGAGCGTCTTATTGCTCTTCATGTTACTGACTTTACATCTTAGTATGCAAAACATCTCTGATATTGTTAAGTTGCAGAAGTAACACTACAGTAATAGTAGTTTAAGAATGAGAGGTTAATTAGTGTCCTGAAGGTTCCAGAGAGGAGCGTGCGCAAGTTCAGGCTCAGTCAGAAGCACAGGAGAGGTGTGTGAAATCGGAGAGGTCTAAAGCAATGAGTGTGACAGTGACCGCAGGCCTATGAAATGCCACCAGTGAGCGCATCTCTCCGTGGGGCTGCAGATATCCCTGCCTGCATGATCAGCAGGGCTCAAATGACAGCTATCCAACCCCATCTGTCAGAAGGACAGATTATTAGTTGCACCCCTCTCCTCGGGGCCAGCTGCTCGTTCCAATCTCTGGAGGTCTCAGTTTCCTCCGAGGAGAGGGCAACAGGTTCTTACTGTAAAGCAGGGCATCACAATTTACGTCAGTGAGCACAGAAGAGATCCACAGTGCGACCCCGTATCTGATGAGCTTTTGCCACAGTCACTCAAGTTTTTGCTACCTTTTCTTTTAGGTAACGGTCCTGCAGTGTACTGCATGCTGGAACTTTAGAGGCCACAAGGGAAAATAGCAACAGGGCAAAAAATTTGGCTTACATAATAGTTCTATGAATTACTTCCTCTTTCTAGATAAATACAAACTCTGCCCACAGGAAGCTTTCACAACACCACATTAAGTTTCTCAATGTAGACTGTGGGACTATAATCAATATGTGCACAATACAATCCATGAATTTGAGACATTATTTATTTTTTTATTCCTTTATTATATCATATTTATTTATTTATTCACATTTTTGCTAATTTGATAAATACTGACAATGTTTATGAGACAATTATTATTATTATTATTATTATTATTTTGACTTTACTTTATAATACTCTGCTGGGTTGTGATGGACTTTTGCATTGTAGTGTCTATTTGTGCTTATTGCATGAAAGCAAATTTGATGGTTGCATAAATCGTGACTTTAAAACACACACACACACACACACACACACACACACACACACATTCTCCAGTGGTGTAGAGGTAGTTGCTGAGGCTGGTCCACTGGGAAGATGAATCTATTACTGAGGAGGAAGTGGGTACACTCGCCTGCATATTCCAATGACTTTTCAGCTGATCGGTAAAGAGGTGGGTATGCCCCATATACCCTCCACTACACCACTGATATTGTCCACTCTATGCAATTCTTGTTCCACTTGATCATGATACTGTAATTTGGTTTCCCTTTTGTGCAACATTGTGACTTAACTAATGTTGCAATGCCAAATGAAGCTTCCCATAAACTCTGTTATCTCCCTGACGCTTCAGCCCACCCTTGACCTGGCACTCCACCTCCACCCTTGATGACAAAGTCATAACACTTCACATGTAATACATTAACCACCTCTGCGCACAGTTTATTCTTGGGAGATGATTCACTTTCCCCATGTGGCAAAGCAGATTCCTGTTAAGACCTCTACTGTCTTTTTGCCTCTCTCCTTCGCTCCTCTCTGTCTTCCCGGATGTCGTAAAAAGGCTCAGCCACTTGTCTGCACTTAAAACACTTGTTCGTCCATCAATCACGTCGGCCAGCCAATCACCTCTCCAGCTGTCGTCAGATCCCACCTGCTGCCGCTCTGTAAGTGGCAGGAGAAATTATCACAGAGGTGGACAGGACAAGTATGGGCTTGCACGGGGTGTTTGATGGCTCCCAATTTCCCAGATGGATTGAACAATGGATAGAACATGGCCTCTGCGGTCACTCCCTTGGAGATGTGCATGTCATGTACAAACAGAGATGCCCATCCTGTGTGGATGGATATGTAATCATGAGATATGTTGTTTTATTTGTATTCTAACGATCCATATGGAAATGAGACTTGTAATTATTGTAAATAACAGCTGTAGCTAGTTTACATAAAAGCGCTCAGGCCGTTCTTTAAAGCTGCACATGACTGTGGTAAGGTTTAATGGACTGGTTGAACGGATGGTCTGTAATTTTCCCCCTGTTATGGTTTTGATACTTCACACACAGTTTTATCATTCATGGCGGTAACTTTGGTGCGTACAATGAATACAACTCAGAGCTGCAGAGTTGTAAATATTCCCAACTGAAGGATAATTGCTGTTTTTATATTATAATTGCTCTAAGCTGTGTGAGCCTACAAATGGGCTGGAATAGCCTTTCAACTGTAATGATGGTGATGGAGATAAATTATGTTCTCTTAATAGATTGGTTTGAATGACACACATTTTTTTGCACAATTTCATAGCTGTAATTAGACTTCATACATGCGTCAGGATTATTGTGTGTATGTAACAACATATGCATGGGTTTTTCATAAAAAATATGATCTAGACAATAGGCTTCATTCTTCACAATGAAGCTTTTATGTCTGTGAAACGGCTGTTTCATATAATAAATGTAACCATTAAGCTGTCATCTTCTGAAGCGCTAATGTTAAATCACTCAAAGGCCCCTAAATATCATTTGTATGCTCCTCGCTGACAGTCGGTCATCCTGGAAGTGTGATGAGGTATGCGGCCTGCAGAGATGGAATGAAGCCAGGTGTCTCGTGGTGTTGTGTGTGCCTTGACAGTGACTGACAAAGACTACCCCATAATTAGAGAAGGGTTGTAATACTACCCTACAGCTCAGCAGGAGGAGCAGCCTCACTCCTCACAGACAAACAAAACCCGCCCATTAAAGTTATGTTGATTGGGTTGCCAGACAAAGAAGCCTTCAGGGTCATCATTTCATATTACTTTGATGGTCAGGAATTCACTGATTAATGCAGGCGTGCAAACATGAAGGGGTATCAGTTTTGAGACAAGCTGGTTCTTGTTAGGAGTTGCCCTGGTTTTGCATTCATGCTGTCACTGACTGTTACCTCATGGACCCTCCTCAACACTGATCTCACTGCGTAAAAATGTCTGTGGAGAAAGTTATGGCTGGCAGCTGCCCACTCTGAGAACACGGGACGTGGAAGTCACCAACCCGACCACCCCATGCTGATGCACACTTAAACACACGCAAACAAACACAAACTCTGAAACACTATCTGTCATGCCTCCAAATTAGCAGCAAAGGCTGATAAACCCTCCCCAAATAAGGAGCGCATCGGCATGTGTGAAAGTTTGCGTGCGCGTGGAGTGCGTGGGGGGAGGCGTATTAGGGAGGGTGAATTATTTTTAGAGGTGTCCAAAGGCTGTGTGGTGGGTAAGCTCCAGTGTGGCCTGACCTCTCCTCAGGTAGCCTCTTACCCTCTCCGCTCCTCAGGTCCTGAGAGGTTTTGACTGGAGGGACCATGGGAAAAGGCTCCAATGGACATCAAAGGCAGG